AGTGTGCTTGATAGAGAGAGAGAAAAAAAAGAAAGGAAAGTGAGAAGGCATCCTCGATGGGGAATGGTCATGCTACAACCCCTTCTCCTTCATTTATCCCTTGTGCTGGGATTTTGAGTATGAATGTACATGTGCCCTGTATGTTTCTCAAGCCACTGGGTCCAGAATTCGAACCAGATGATCAGCCCTGTTGGACCCAGCCACCCTAACAGCCACATCATGGGCTGACCCTAAGCTTGTACGTTAATTCCACTTTTCTATGAACTTTTTGAAGTCCCTGTGTATGTGTGTGTGTGTATTTATATGTACTCTGTGTGTGTGTGTGTATGTATATAAAAGTTTACTTTCTTTTTAATTTAATTATAAGACAAACATAGTTCAAGTGATGATCAATGACTGACCCTCAGCCTCAGGGATGGGAGGAAAACAGGGTGGAGTGTATGGCAATATGGAAAACTACTCAGCTCCGTGGACACATCCCTTGCTGAAATGTGATTCCATTCCAGACCTTCTAAATTTCTAAAACTTAAAAAAGGTGTAATGTACATATAAAAATGTGGATGTATTTTAGGAGTATGGTTTGATGAATTTTTCATGAACGGAACATGGTGGTATAACCAGCAGCTAGATCAAGGAACAGAACAGTATCAGGACCCAGAGGGGCCCCCTCACATTCCCTTTCAGTTGAGATCTCTCGCTTTTTTTAAGGAAAAAGTTATCCAGATTCTTATGTGAATTCTCGGCTTCCAAAGTTTTTCAAGTAATTCAAAACACTAAAAAAACCCTGTGGGCCAAACAAAACACATCTTTTGGCTAGAGTCAGCCTAGAGAACTCCAGTTTAAAACCTCTGGTTTCCATGCTTTTCTTGGTATCTGGCGGCTCACACAACTGTTCTTCTCCATCAGAGTGTGGATAATGAAGTTTCTACTGAATGATCCCAGCCATGGTAGACGGGGCCTTCTTCTGGGACTTTGGAAGTGAGACACTGGCGTATTCTGATGATGCTGAAAATGGGGCCCCTGCAGTCCCAGAGCTGGAGCAAGTCCTATTGTGCTGTCATTGGAAGAGCAGAGAAAGCTGGTACCTTGAGAGAAAAAAGGAGCAAAGGTGCAGAGACAAGGCAGATAGAATCGGCATAGCCAGAGAGAGTGAGCGAGCAAGGGAACACACACTGGCTCCTCAGCAGCTTTCCAACTCCCCAGTTCTTGGTTCTAGCACCCCCTGAGGTGAGTGTGTTCTGGGACTTAGGAGCTACTAATAATTATGTTGGTGGGAATTCTCTCAGAATTCAGGAGGAATATTTAAGTGGGTGAATCAAGCAAGTGTTACTGGTGACAGCCAGTGGCTGGAAGGCAAGTGGGCAGGGGTCTCCATAGGAGAGGCTCTAGACCAGTGAGCTGGGATAAGTGATGGGGAAGCCTGGAAGGCAAGCAGAAGATAGAGGTTCCCTCAGGTGAGCACTTTACAGGATTCTGGTTTAATAAAAACTGGAGGCTAGATTATTATTCCCAGTTCTTCATTCTCTATAATAAAATTATACATTCATGTCCTTTGATCATCCATACACCCTACTAGAATAGCAGCTGTGTGCTTGGCAAGTCGACTTACTTTGGCCAATGGAATACAGAGACATGACAAAGGACTCAACTCAACTTCTGAGTTGAGGCCTTAGGAGTCACGGAAAGTTTTCACTTGCGTTTTCTAGTGCTTCTTCCATCCATAATGAGAAGAGCCTACCCCAGGTAGCCCTTGGTTACAGAAGGTGAGTCATATGGAATTGATCTGTATTCACTTTACTGCCTGAATCAGAGCCCTCCACGCACCCTGCAGACTGTGTGAGAAAAATTAATGTTTTTATAAGCTATTAAGATATTGGGATTGTTTATTACATAGTATTATCACAGCAATAGCTGACCAATACAGAGAAGAAATGGATCTTAGGCAAAATTAGGGACTAAGAGCCAAGGCAAAAGAGCCTGGTTGTGCCAGAATGGGCTCAGCCTGGGGATGGGAGGAGAGAGAGCTCAGACTCAGAGTGACGTGAACCTAATGTGGATTCTTAGAGGTCATTCCAGAGGGCACCAGAACCATGTATGATTGGAACAGGGAAATGAGAGTGGTCTGGGAGAAATACCTCTCACCTCATTGATCATCTGGCTTGAAGGGAAATCAGGAGGAACACAGGAGCCAAGCAGTTATAACTGAGCTGGTGACATTATTTTAAGCTGTTGTATCTTCTCAACCTTTCTATGCTTTCCAGCTTGGCCAGCATTGACTCAAGATCTGTGAGCACTGGGACCAGCAGTTAGTGTAATGGCTATGTCGCTGAACTCCCATGTAGTTGACCACAGTTCAAGTCCTGGACCCAGTGGCTTAAACTCATGCTGGGTGTGTGTGCGTGCATGCCCAAGATCCCGAGAGGAGAATGGAGGAGAAGGGATTGTGGCGTGGCCATCCCCCCTGGGGGGTGATTTCTCGCTTTCTGTCTCTATGTCTCTCTCTGTCTCTCTGGCGAGTGCATGTGCCCTATAGCAAAAACCTCTCAAAAAAAAAGAAAAAAATCTGTGAGCATCAGTGGATCTAGCTGTGAGGATCCTGAGAAAATAGCAGTGGAAAAATAAGATGGAAGAGGACAATGCCATGCTGCAGTGCCAAATGCTGAGATGTGTGTGTGTGTGTGGGGGGGCTATGTGATGGCTCATCTTTTATAAATCCCCCTGCTTGCTGTGCTTGTTAAGAGCTCACCCTAGAGTGGGTTTGAGGCGGCTGGGAGATACTTATTCTGAGCATGTTCATCAGCTTTTTGAGAAACGAGAGTCTCAGATAAATCCTGTGAAACCGTAGACCCATACGACAATGACATGAGCAGGGCACAATGCAGTAGCCATTGACTTTTCTTGCCACAGTGAAGGATGCTGGGCAGAAACACAGACAGAGGGTGTTTCTGATTTTCTTCCTTGAAATTCCTTTTCCCAGGGGCTTCCAAGCTCAGGAAGCTCTTGTCATCTCCTAATTGAGGCAGATGAAGATGGGGGTTCTGTAGGGAGGCGTTTCTACTTAATCAAGGCCAGTCATACGCAAGCTCTAGGATTAGTTAGAGATCTGCAGATCTGCACAGTTGCTTGGGCAGCCTGTTTTCTGTCTTCGCTACCTTGTTATCGGGCCCTTCTCTGAATTCCTGTAGCTTTTCCAGGACTTAAACAATGAGATTAACAGCTATCATTTTTTGAATGCCTACCATATGCGAGGCTCTCCAGTGGATCTTTTACAAATATCATTGATAATAACAACAGCAAAGATAACTAATGTTTATTAAGCATTTACTACGGACCAGGCATTGTGCCAAGTCCTGAACACGTATTAAGTCATTGAGAATCCTTACAACGAGACTACATGGGCCTCATTATTTTTGCACATGAATAACGAATGGTGGAGTTAGGATTTGGATCTATATTGGTCTGAGTCCAGGCCTCTGCTTTTTCATTTACAAACTTCTCTTGCTTGGCCTTGTTCTCTCGGCATTACGGGGCACTCTGCTGTTACTCAAACAGGCTAGATGCAAAGGGCTGGAATGTGGAGTTAGATCAGGAGGTGAACACAGCATGGTGACTAACCCCCGATGGAAGTACAGTGACAAGTTCACAACGGGTGGAGGAATAAGATCAACAGGAAGTATGGTGGGGCCCTGAAAACTGAGAGGAGCAGAAAGATGCACAACTGAGAGGCCATGTCATATCCTGGCAGTCACCTAGGCTGTGCAGGAAGCCTGTTAACAGAGAGCCGGCCTCAGATACCTGACAGGGGTCCAGGACAGGACACCAGATCCTGGAGGAAATAGAGCTGGCCCAGAGCATAGCTTGTAGTTGGGCTCTGTCCTTCACTAACTTTTGGCCAAGGTGCTTGCTTTGAGTTTCAGTTTCTTCATCTGTCAAATGGGGAGAGTAATAGTATCTCCTTCATAGGTTCAATTGATAACTAGGTGAGATAACAGACATAAAGTACCAGTACGAGTGCCCTGTACTGAGGAAGTGTTCAGTGCCTGGATCACTACATTTCTGTACAGGTGTGAGGATGAACCCAGGTTCTCATAGCTGAGAGGAAAATTAAGTGCCCAATGAGGAATGCCTTAAATGTTCTGGTTGAGAATTATTGGATTGTTGGAAAAGTCATGTTGCATTTTTGCATAGAAAAACAGAAAAAATGTGTCATGACTTTTCCAACAAGTCAGTAGTATTTGTTTTAGAAATTGGAATGAGATTACATGTCCTCAATCCTGTGTAGAAGAGGGAAGCTGAATCTGGGTAATAAGCAGATAGTGCTCTTTCATGGATGGGTTTGGAACCCCAGCCCCAGAGATTTGAAAGACTCTTTCTCAGGGTATTGGACTTCTGGTCTGATACCCTCCCAATGATGCAGTATTGCTGATAAATAAACATTAGACATAACATATCTACAGCCTTGTCAATGGCACATGCACTGTAGTGGTTTTCAAACGTGTCTGCAAATTCTTTGACTCTCTTCCCATCAAAAAATAGCATTGATTTTTTTCTCTCCTGGAACATGCACCAGCCTTAGTGGTTTGCTTCTGATAAAGAGAATATGGTGAAAGCGATGCTGTGTGTCTTCTAAGGATGGTTAGAACAGGTGATGTAACTTTTTTTTTTTATGGCAAAATTATTCTTTATAATGACACAAACTACATCTTGTAGCTTGTAGTAAGGCTTTTGTCACTTTGTTCCACTTCTCAGGTATCTCTTTATGTATGACGAGGCTGCATCTTTACCAAATATAAATTGATGCCATGGTAAAATTAGCCTCAGGCTCTTCCTCAACCTCTATATTCATGGACACATTCCCTGATATTATATTTCTCTTGCCTGAAATATTCTTGCTATTCCTTCAAAAACCAGATTTAAGCCACTTGTTCCTGCGAGGAAAAACTAGACAAAAAAATTCCTGATCAGGAATTCTGTATTGTTCTTATCATACTCCTATGACTAGGAGTAATTCTTTATTCCTTAGTTGCTTACTTGCCAAGTAGTTGGAAAAGGATAATCAGTTTAAGAAAGTTTCAAATCAATTGTTGTCTTTTATTATCTTTAAAATGTCATATGAAGGCCTTAGAAATTATCCGGCTTGTTACTGCAGTTGCGAAAATCTTAGGTCTTACTCATCAGCCTGCTAAACTGTACCCTTCTCAGAGACATAGATAACATCCAAGAATTTTCTTATGTCCTTATTTTTAACTGTCGTGGCTTGCTGTATCAAAGCAGCTGAATTTGAAACAAGTTCAATATCATCGCCTTCAAGGATCAACCCATCATCTTTCTGGGCTTGAGATACTGAACAAGCAACACCTGGTCTCATTCGAACCCTCCAGATGTATTTTTCACCCAAGAAATTTCGGATTTCAACAAGAGACCCATTCTCCTGAATAACGACGTTGATGGGGAAATGAGCATACACAGACCTCATCTTGTAGTGGAAGCCCAAGGTAACACCCTTGATCATGTTCTGGACGTGACTACAGATAGTGCGAATGGTCGCCAGCTCCTTTCTGTTTCCCCACCATTTGTCAACCCGCAGCCTCTTCTTCTTCACAAGGAGGCTGAGCTCAACATTGATGTGGTTGAAGTCCCTCCGCAGGGTTCCTCGGGGGCCCTTCATGATGACGGTGCATCCCTTCAGGGTGATGTCGACGTTCTGGGGAATGTCGACCATCTGGTTGCTGAGAATGGTTTTCATTCTTGCAGTAGGCGCAGCCTATAACATGTGTTTTTGAAAAATTATGTTGTGTGCTATGAAGATGTACAACAATTAAATGTGAAGGAGAATAAAAAAGTTATTTCAGGCAATCCTAAGATAAAGAGAGAGAAAGAAGAAAAGAAAAGGTGACATAGAGCTGGCTCCGCAGTATAGTGGTTGAGCATTATGCATTGGGAGCCGGATCCCACATAGCTGACCATGGTTTAAATCCTGGCTCTGGATGTCAAATACACACCAGACATGAGTGTGTGCATGCCCCAAATCTTTACAGGATAGAAAAAGGGATTGTGGTGTGACCATGCCTCATTGGAGGGGTGTGTTCTCTCACCGCTTGGCTCTGTTTCTCTGTCTCTTCTAGTGAGTGCATATACCCTCTGGCAATTAAAAAAAAAAGAAGGAAAGAAAAAAAGAAAGGAACAGAGTTTCTGCTCAGCTCTGCTTCTCAGAATACTTGCCCTGGGAACCGATTGCCATGTTTGGAGGAAGCTCAGGCTTCCTAGAATGCCACATGAACTTTCACACATACAGCTATAGCTAAGGTCCCAGCTGATAGCCAGCGTCAACTGCCAGACAAAGGAGTGAGCGAGTCTTCAGATGATTTGGGCCAACTTTCAAGCTGTTGCAGATGACACCAAGTGGAGCAGGGGTGAGCTATCCTTAACATGCCCTGCTTAAATTACTGATTCATGAGCCAAATAAATGTTGTTTTTAGCCATGAAGTTGCTGGGTGTTTTGTCATGCAGCGATGCATGAATGCAACATACACATGCGTAGCAGAACACAGAAGAGAAGCAGTTAGACACAGTGTTAAGAGGCTGTGTTCCAGAGTTAGACAGTTGGTTTCCAAATTTTAACCCTGCTGCTTGCTTAACTGGGCAAGATTCCTTGAGATGGTTTTGTCCTCTGCAAGATGGTGTTAATAGCTATATTAATTGTTTGGGTGTTGCTTTAGTTTGCTAGGGTTGCCATAAAAAAAATTCTGCAGACTGGGTGGCTGAAACAACAGAAATTAATTTTCTCACAGATCTGGAGGGTGGAAGGCCAAAATCAATGTGCTGGCAAGTTTGGCTTCTTCCAAGGCCTCTGTCCTCCACTTGTAAACGGTCTCCTTTCACTGCATCCTCACATGGTCTTCTCTCTCTCTCTCTCTCTCTGTGTGTGTGTGTGTGTGAGGGTGTGTGTGTGTGTGCCTATCTGTGTCCATATTCCCACTCTCTAGAATGTCAACAGTCCTACTGGATTAGGGCCTACCCTCACCAGGACTTCATGTTAACTTACTGCCTAATTAAAGATCCTGTCTCCAAATATAGTCACATTCTGAGGCACTGGGGGTGACAGTGTCAACATATAAATTTTGCAGAGGACACAATTAAGCCTGTAGCAGTTGCTACGAGAATTAAGTGAGGTAACACAAATATAAAGAACAGGTCAGTGGTGGACACATGGTAGGTGTTTCATAAATAATGGCCATTACTATTATTGTATGTATGACATCAACATGATTATGATACACACAAAAGGAGTGACACCACCATGTGTGTCCCAGGGAAAATCTTACATTGTTTTCCCTAAGATGAAATTGAATTAATTTCCCTTAGAGGACAAGCTCTGTCTTAAGCACAGTATCTCTCTCTGGCCCCCAGGCTGGCCTTCCAGCTTAGTGATGGTAACAAGAAGAGGAGCTGAGACATCTCTTCTGGAAGGAGGACGATCATTATTTCCTGACCCTCCAAAGACAGCGGCTTCTTTTGGAGACCCTCGGGAGAAGCTCTCTGTTTGGGAGATGATCCCAAGGTGTTCCCAGGTAAGAAAAGGCCTGGGACGACTTAAAAACCAGAAGCTGCTGTCCGAAATTGCCTGGGTTCTCCAGAGCTGACCCATGGAATCATTTCCACTGAAGCAATTTGGAAAAGGTATTTTAGAGAGGAAGTCCCAATTCAGAAAAGACTTGCTGCCAAGTCCTTTGTTTTCCTAATGTTGCCACAGTGTCTGAAACTGAATTTTTTTAAATGGCATTTTCCTGGAAAGGATTTTTTTGGTCTTTTTTGGAAATGTCTCATGTAAAACAAGATCGCCAATGAACTGTTGGGTCTGGTCTCCCCAGGGGTGTGCTTGGGAAATGGCAGGTGGGGGAGAGGTGGTCTGGATGGGAAAAGGAACAAAAACAGAGTTGGAGAGAGAGCAGGACGTGACCAGGGGGCCAGCATTCCTGTGTTAGGAATAGGCTCAGGGGCTTTGGATTCATTCCAGCGGGTCAGGCATCCCTTATAGGGAAGGTGGGAGGGGAGGGAAGGGAGCCTGGCAGCACAGCTGGGGAAACGTCTCCTGAAAGCCTGTTGGTGGCAGGGCTCACGGTCTATTTATCACAGAAATGGACTTTTCCTGGGCCTGCCGTTTCCTCCCCTCCCTGGTCTGGTGTAGGGGGACAGTAATGGTGATAGAGCAGGGACTGTGTCTCCCACATCAGATTGGATTTCTTTCCTGAGGTGAGGGACTGTACAGAGCATTCATTCTAGGGGCTCCAAGCAGGTCAAGTTGTATCTCTGCATCAGACTGGAGGGTCCCCAAGTACAGAGACCTTGTTCTTTCTCAGTTTAAGGAATCCTTAGAGCTGGGGAACCTTATCCGCTTCTTATTCTAAGTTTCCCAGAACCCAGCATGTGAGAGATTAGCTTATGGCTTATGACCGACTCAGTGACCTACTCATGGTTCTGCTCTCTCCCCTCATAAGTAGCACAGACAAGATGTGCTGACTGGAAGTCCAGCAACCTGGCTGCCTCCTGCCAGGCCTAAGGCCAATCACTGTGGCCAAGTGGAATTTTTGTAGCACGAAGGAGCTTGGAAGCTCTTGGTGGGCTGGCTCCTATCCTCTGGCTCTGCAACTCTTCTGTCCATTCCTCATCCTGCTATTGGTTCTCAGTTCCAGCCTCAGGTCTCTGAGGCCTCAGGATGGAATAAGGGCAAAGAGTGAAGGAAAGGGCACAGGAGAAGCACTGAATGTGAGAATTAGAAATTACTCAGGAGATGATTTTACTTGTCTGGATAGTTCATTAATGAAGACGCCTACTGAATGCCTGTTCTGCTCCAGGCTCTGCTCCAGGCATTGCTTATATACAGCAGTAGACAAGACAGACATGGTTCCTGCCCTTAAGGGGCTAAGTGTCTGATACTTGAATGTTCAGACATTAGTGTCACTGAGTGGTCATACAGATTCTGCTTTCAAACCTTTGGGGTTTTGGAGCTCTTCCCCTCTCAAGGCAGCCCCATTTCTATTCTAAACAGCTGTGAAAGTCAAAAAAGTGTCTCCATAGATTGAGACAAAATATGTTTCCTCTTGGGCCAACCAGTTGTGTAGTGGTTAAGGCAGCTGAATCCCACATGGTTGACTGCACAGTTTGAGTCCTGGACCTAGCAGCTTGAAAAACATGCTGGGCGTATGTGCATGTGCAAAATTCCGAGAGGAGAATGGAGGAGAAGGAATTGTGGCGTGGCCATCCCTCTGGAGGTGCTTTCTCACTTTCCCCCTCTTTCTCTCTTGGTCTTTCTCTGGTGAGTACATATGCTCTGTAGCAAAATTAAAAAAAAAAATTCTTCTTTTCTATAACCTCCACTCATTCATCTCAGCCAGCTTTTGGATCTACTCAGGATAAGCCTGTATACACTTTCTTCTGAAAATCTCTCACTATCATGGTGAATTTATCAATTTTTTCTTTCTTTTGTTTTATTTCAGGCTATCTGATTAGGTATGTCTAAATTTAGGACTGATGTTTTTCCCTGGAGAATTGTTTTTGTCATTTTGTAATAATTTCCTCTATTTTTTTTTCTGGTTTTAATATTACTTTTTTGCTTGTTATTTGTTATAATGATTGTTTGGTTTTTCTTCCCCCCAATTTTGTTATTTTCACTATTTCTGTGTTTTTATATAGTAAGTATAACTAGTAGAAAAAACAAAAAGCTGAACTTCTTATTTAATTTTAGCATTTCTTTTCGTAGACAATTTTTTTAAGGTCTTTGCCATAGGGTGTGTGCACTTGTTGGAGAGATAGACAGAGACAGTGAGAGGAAAAGTGAGAAATCACTCCCTCCAGGGATGGCCATGCTGCATTCCCTTCTCAATTCTCCTCCCGGGATTTTGGGCATGCACACACACCTGCCAGTTGTGGTTTTCAAGCTACTTGGTGCAAGACTTGAACCACGGTTGGCCATGTGTGAGTCTAACACCTAAAACATCATGCCACCTGCTGACCCTGTGGAGAATTTTAATCCTTTACATTTAAATTTATTATTAAAGACAGTAATGCCTTTTATATATTAATATCTTTAATATTTTTGTTTTAGTCTCTTAGATACTTTACTTCTTTCCTGCTTTCTACTATATTAAATGAGATTTTAAATGTAATCTTTTCCTGGGGCCGACAGGTGGCATAGTGGTTAAGGGCTGAGAACCTTGTTGCCCTGTGGAAAGTCCAGGTTGTCTTATAAAAAAGGAGAAAAAGTATATACTATATAGGTTACTATCTATAATCCATGCATATAGCAATTTTATAATTAATCAGAAACTGTGCATCCTTAGGATGCTCTTATTCTAATCTCTCTAGCCCAAGTTTTATGTTTATTATTTAGCATTTTGGGTTTACTTTGTCTTCAAATGCCAGTATTTGAAACTATTGTATTTTTTTTTCCCTTTCCCTTCAGGCTATACGCGCACACACACACACACACACACACACACACACGCACACTTTTCTCTCTCTCTACACACACACGCACATGTTTTTTTTTTTTAATTTCTAGAGAGTGTAAATTTGTAGAACACACTTGTGTTTGAAGTTGATTTGAGGTTTTGTTTCTCAGAGGTGGTTTTGTATTTTTACCTTCAATCTTATTTTTTTATTTTTTTGAGAGGTTTTTACCTTAGGTCATGTGTGATTGCCAGCGAAAGAGAGAGACACTGAGAAGAAAAATGAGAAATCACTCTC